ACCGCGATCAAGGTCGAGGAAAGCGCCCCCCTCCGCCCTTTTCTGAGGAGGCGATCAGTCATGATGGCTTAGCGGGAACATCATTTCCTTTTTCCACCCAGGCTGCATCAGCCGGAAAGCAGGTGGGGGTCAGGGGCAAGGATCGGGGAAGAGCATCTAATTCTGGGGAGGGGGCGCTTCCTTTATTTCAAGAAAGCACCCCGTTATTTTTTTTGTATCTCCCCCCCCCCAATTTCCGCTTTGCGCTTTTGTTGCTGGAGAGCTGCAAGGAGCCCGTTCTCACGGGATCCTCCTCCTTCTCCTCTGTTGCTAGGCAAACTTGAAGTATAACCCCCGGCTATAAATAGCCCAGCCTGCTGATTGGTGGAAGGATCAGCCTGGGAGGCGGTCTTCCTCGGTTGGCCTGACGTCAGAGAGGATGGTGGGGAGGGAAATGCGGCAAGCAACCTCCCCCCCAAGACGGAATGAGCTGCAGCCCAGAAGGTGGGCATGGGGGGCACAGGGCATCCGCCCTGGGCCAGGAGAGGACCAGCACACAAGGTGATCTGGGCCCGTGGCCCACCAGAGGCAGGGAGAGGCTCCCCCAGCTAACTGCAACTGCCACCATCATAAAGCCAGAGCAGCAACCAGGATCCTCTCAGCCAGGCGGAAGAAAGCAGGCTGAGTGGTGCAACAATAGACCATTTCGGGCTGTGCCCGTTGCATCCCTTGTCTGATTAAAACACAGAGCTGGCCCCACCCAGTGGGCTGCCCTGCTTTGCCCCAGAGGAAGAAAGGCAGTGTGTTGGGCAAAGAACATGCTTGAGCCCAGGTTACCATCCTCCTCCCCACTCCCTCTTGGGGGCTGTTGGCCGTTCTGCAAGCCCCTTTCTCTGCCCAGCCACGTTCTTACCATTCAGGACCACCGCAGTGCTCGGCAGTATTGCCTTGTTGCCCCACTGCCAAGGGGCCGAGCAAGAGCCTTTTTCTGGAAATAAGCCCCATGGCCACAGGCCTGGCCTGGCCTTCATGATAGCAAGAGGAAGGATCCTTCTGGTCCGCCAGTTCTGCCAGGGAAGAGCCACCCACGACCAGCCCGGTTCCCTTCTGCTTTAGACTTGGGGTGAAAAAGGGAACCCGATCCTATCAAAAAGCGCTCACCCCAAGAGAGTTAACGCGGCTTTGCGTCAACCTGTGGTGGAAAGGAGATAGAATTTGGAACTGAACCAGATGGCCTTAAAGATTTGTGTGGTGTTGCAAGCCGGAACTCTCTTCAACCGTTGAGGCTATTTTAACAGCTTGGGAATGCTATTTGTTAAGTTGGATACGTTAATAATATTCCCAGTACAGATTGTCTCCCACAAGGATTGCAGCTGCTATTTTCTGACCAAGTCAGTTCCCTGGAGCTTTGCAAATGAAAACGTTTTAAAATAAAAACTAGCTTTCTGGGTAAGGTAAAACAAATCTGGGTCCTTCTTAGGTGTGTATTTTTTGTTTTTCTGCGTGCACGAGTATTTAATTTTTTTGTAAGCCGCTTCAGGCTGCTGTTGTGTAGGAAGTGGCGTATAAATAAATCACAATGATGGTGAGGTGCAGCAGTTGGACTCTGGATGGAGACCTTCAACGGTGTTGAAATGCATGCTGACAGGTTGTTTTAGAAGTCTCTGCTCTTGGTGCAACTTTTTTTTTTTTTTTGCTTCTGTTTTTCAGGATCTCGTGAAGAGCCATTTGATGTACGCGGTACGAGAAGAAGTGGAGGTTCTGAAAGAGCAGATCAAAGATCTCATTGAGAAGAATAATCAGCTGGAGCAGGAGAACAACCTGTTGAAGACACTGGCCAGTCCAGAACAGCTGGCTCAATTTCAGGCCCAGTTGCAGACAAGTTCCTCCCCGGCGTCTTCCCAAACACAGGGAACCACACTGCAGCCTTCCCAGCCTGCACCGCAAAGCTCAGGACCTTCAGCGTAGTCCAGCATTTCTTGGATTTCGGCACTCTGGACTCTGCTGAGGCTGACTGCAGGAATCCAGCGGTCTCTGCATGCTGACCCCCCCAATTATGAAGACTCTCCTGTGCCCTGCACTCCTAGTCGCAAAGCGTTTTCCTTTCCAGTATTAAGCTGTTCGTGGGGAGCAGGGGAGATGAATTTTTCTTTTAGATATTTTTTTTAAGTTGGGGGGAGGGAGGGTCTTACCACTGTTCAGGGAATTAGCACAAATGCGCTGGGGACTTCAGCAGCTTCTGCAGCTGGCTGCTAAACGTATGAGTTTGTGTGCCTGAAGCTTTTTTTCCTTAAGATCTTCCTTCCGTGTAGTGCCGTGATGAATGCAAGTGCTGTTGGGCCTGGAAATGTGAAGAAATTGGCTGGGGTGGTGGGGATGAAGACCCATTCTCTAGCATACCACCAGGAAGCCAAAGGAATAAGGGATAAGGAAGAGCTTTGGGGGAACTGGAGGACAGTAAAGGGGGGCTTTCAATGCCTGCAGTCTTAAAAAGCAAATATGCACTCATTTGCTGTAGCCAAGTAAGGTGCAAAAATAATCTATTTCTAGGAGAAGAACCAGTAGGTGATGCTGTGACATAGGATCGTCAAATGAAGGTTTGTTTGCTTAATGTATATTTGTGTATTTAGTGTAATTACTTTGTAAAATAGGAACTGTAACTACTCATTAAGTTGTACAGAGTGAATTTAAAAGAATGAACTGAAGTTTGGATAGTATTTCTTTTCTTTTCTTTTTTAAATTTTATTTTTGATGCTACGTGAATAAGATTTGCACCTATACAGCTCTTCAGAAATTGGCTGATGCTGTTTATGTCAGTTCTAAAAGTTGCCTTGGAAAGTGAATATATTGAAGTCAGACTCTGTCCATTGCAGTTCCAGTTCATGCAGGAGGGATCAGTTCACAAAAGCAAAATCTAAAATTAATTTCTCACTTTTTTGAGGGGGCATATGATCTGAATAATAGGATGCATATGTTCTTGTGCATGTTCTGGGAGATTGATTGGGAGGAAAATGGTAAAATGTCAGTATATTTGACTTGCACTTGTCAACTTCCAATAAAGCATACAATCTTGATATAAAAGTTGTGGTTCCAGGAGAACTGTTACCTTCCGCTGGGTCATCGGAAAGCTAAATTTCATCAGGGCTTTTGGTTTTCAAAACCTTTTTTAAAAAGAGGGGGAGAGGGTGTTTCAACAGTGAAAAATTAAAATATTGTTAAAACCTCAATATTGTTCCAGTAAAATAAAGGCAAGCCTGGATTTAAACCAGAAGGGAAGAAGGAAGCCTGGATTTTGCTAATCTCTGCTTTCACAGGCGATGGAAAAGGAAGTTCCGTCCTTCAAAAGAGATGGTGCAAAACCAAAGTGGCAGCATTTGTTTCTTACTGGCAAACCAACCTTTTAGCTAGTTCTGGCTAAAATAATGTGCTGCAAAGGGTGGAAAGTACAGCTGTTTTAGCATTCTGGATGCATCATTCAAGCCACATTAAATGGATTGGACCTCAGGTAACGCTGAGCATCATTCAAAATGCTTTGTGTCTCTTGTTTGAATTATCTTACACTAATCCTGCAAGATGGGGCACCAATAACCCTTTATATTGCATGCTCGAGGAGTTATGAGAGGGGCTTGTAGGGGTCATCTAGAGACTTGGTTACACAGACAAGGACGACATGGCTGAGCTGCAAACATGCTTACAAGCAAGTGTGGCTTGTGGTCTGTACGTGGTTAGTCAAGATTAGACATGTAAACCTGGGATTTCTGACTCTCTGAAAGAGAACAGCATGAATCCATTTTTTAAGTTCAGTTGGCTGGTGGTTTTCTTCTCTGGCTCTTCCCAGCAGAGAAAACTACATGAAGCTTGGCTAGCCAAATTAGAGATGATTCAGAAGCCACACCTGCCGGGCCAAGCCTGCAGATGTTCACTGTTTTGTTTGTCACTAAACAAACTAGTGGCTCAGTGTGATGTGCAAACTTCCTTCTCTCTGATTTGCAGCTCCAAATTGTTTGCCAGACGCTACAGGACCCCTCCTCAGAAATGCAGCTGTGCTCTGTTTGCTTAATTTATACCTTTGCCCCCTGAAAATCTGAGATGTTCCCTTGCTTGTCTTTTGTGCAATAGGAAACTGTCAGCCTGTAGCTTCAGAAAAATGGTACAGGACCTCCCAAATCAAGACACAAATGTGTTTAGAGACACCAAGGATTCTACAGTTGGGAGGGACTGGAGTCCCCAACAGATGGCTGACAAGTAAATTGTGTGTGCGTGTGTGCTTTCAACTCCATGTTGACTCCTGGTGATGGCCTGGACAAGTCCCTGCAGTTTTTTTGTCAAGATGTCAGAAGCGGTTTGCCATTGCTGCCTGCCTAGGGGTGAGAGAGAGATCCAGCTGGCTTCGTGCCTAAGGCAGGATTACAACTCATGGTTTCCTGGTTTCTAGCCTGGTGTCTTAACCACTACTCCACCTGGCTGTTAGTCAAGTGAATGTGTACAGTGAAAAAGCCAGTTGCCTCTCTGGGACTTTGGTTCCACTGTCAAACTGCTTTTACTGTTTAGAAATATTTAACAAAAACGAGCATTGGTTTTCCTATACCTTAAAACAATTGCTGCAAGTAATTACTGCATTACTGCAGTTTTGACCATGTTCTGCAGAGCATCCTTTGAGGCATTTGAAGAGTCCTATCAGTTGTCTTTCCACTAAATTCACCCTGCTCCTTCAATCGCTCTTCATAAAGCTTAATCCCTACTCCTAGTCTACCCATTTTCCAAGAAAGACAAAAAGAGGGAAGCTTCAGTGATACAGGGCAGAACCAGCTGAAGTGATATTTCCTGTGTAAAGTCTTACCTCTTTGATTTTGGTCATTATGAGCAACTTTAAAAACAATTACAGTAATTATTGGCAAGCATTTTTTTTTTCCAAGAAAAAAGTTCAAGCTTCCTGTGCTACCAACTAGGAGCTTCCTCTACCTCCATATTTGGACAATAGTCCATCAGACGTTGTCTTCTCAGTATCGCCCACCCAGAGGACCAATGCATAATTATGAAAGAAAGTGTCCCAACTTTTCTTGTGGATTTGGATTTGCTCCTCGCAGTCCCTGATATGAATCTGAATTGCTGCATCGGCTGTATGTATCTCTCAGATACATACAGTTTCCACCTCTGTTGATATATTTGTATTTTGTGCTACTTAATAGTTTCCTAATATGACAGGCCCAAGTGAGACTGCAGCAAGGCTAACATGCTTTTATTCTGCGTCTTCCCCCGTGACATTAAATTTTACATTTACACACATTTTTTTTTTGGTCAAACTACAATTGTTCTTTCTATAGAAAATTACAGAAGGCCTGATACTGTTTTCATCAGCATGGGGTGGAGCAAAGATAAATTATGCAAATTCTGTATGTCCATCATACCCTATATTTATTGATCAGGGAGATCAGTACTTACATCCTAGAGGCAGGGAGTTTGTGAGAATGCTGTGGGATGCTAGAATTCATTAACCTCAAATTTCCTGTGCTTACTCTCTAAAAGCAGAGTTACTTTCTTATTTCCATCCAAACAGGCTTTCCCCATGCATTTTTCCGGGGAACTGAAATGGGGCAGGGGGATCAGAAATGTAAACAGACCACAATCTATGAAGAGTCTGAATCTATCCATGATGTTGGTGGCTGGATCAGTCGCATCATTTATCGGGTTGTTCTGAAAGCTAAGTTGATGCTTGATGAAGAGAGTGCAAAATCTATCTATCTATCTATCTATCTATCTATCTATCTATCTATCTATCTATCTATCTATCTATCTATCTATCTATCTCCCTCCCTCCCTCCCTCCCTCCCGGCTAGGCAGGCAGGCAGGCAGGCAGGCAGGCAGGCAGGCAGGCAGGCCACAATAGTTCTAAGTAGGAACTTCCTGTACAGCCAATTCAGCAATTCAGTTTCATAACAGGGACTGCGAGGAGCAAATCCAAATCCACAAGAAAAGTTGGGACAGTTTCTTTCATAATTATGCATTGGTCCTCTGGGTGGGCTATACTGAGAAGACAACGGCTGATGGACTATTGTCCAAATATGGAGGTAGATGAAGCTTGAACCTCAGCCTTCAGCAGCCTGGGACCCTAAAAATGTGTTGGGATTCTTGAATCTCCAGCAAGAAAAATCCATTTTGAGTTTAATCCCAAAGTATCTGGAGGACTTGGCATTATCCATTATGTGATTCCTGCTTCCTAACCCACCAGGGAAAAATGAATTATCTAAATGGGCATGCGTCATTGAACCAGGAACTCTGATGAAGTCCTTGCTATGATCTGTTGATGCCATGAAAAAAGTTTATTCCACTACTGCAGTGACATTGGCTTCTGCAGTCAAACTTCAATCTATGATGGATTTTTATAATACGGACACAAATAAATGCTGGATGCTTCAAACAGAGAGACTTGAGATGAGCAGGGATGACAGTTGTTTGTGGGAAATACTGCTAGCTTTGATTTTCTGAGCTAAAAAAGGTATGGAGCATAAAAAAACTTCCAGTGCTATCAAACAAAAGCACTGTGCAACTATTTCAACGTTTACTCCTTAATAGATTTTTGAAAGAAGAAGAAAAAAATGGGAAGGTGGTAACAAGTACTGTGTAAGTTCTCCTTAATTTTGGGTAAAAACACCCAAAATCTAAAACTGAGAAAATGTACTTATGGAATTTTGCTAGTAAGAAATACAACAACTGTCTAAATTACCTAATATGATTGGATGTTTTGAAGGATTAATGGATCTAACACAAATTATTACGTCAGTTGTTACCTCTTGTACAAACTCTTGCAGAAATTGCTCTCTCTCGTACAGGAGAAAAGATCAGTACTAAACATTATTTAAAAAGCCTGCCAAATGTAAAAAAACAATGCTTGCTCTAATTAGGTTTTGAGGGTTTTAATACATTTGGCTGGCAAAAGAGTCAATTGTGCATAAGATGCACAATTAACTCACAGAGAGCATTGTTACGAGGTATGTCCGTAATCTGCCTACAGTCAATCAACCTTCAGGGTAGAGGTATGTTTGACACACACTAACCCCTTTTTTGGCATGACTTATTAAAACAGTTCTCTGCTGTCTGAAAGTAGTTTGCACGTACCTGAGGACATTGCTGGAAAGATCCAAATGCTCTCTTGAGTTTTTTATTCAAGGCTGGTAAGGGTGAACTGGAGGTCAACATCTTGAGATGTTCTCCAAGGAGCTATAGGACTACAAACTTAGCTTTGAAAAAGGATTAACAAATTTATGGAGAACAAATCAGTCACTTCATATTGTCTTAATAGCAAAGAGGAATCTGCAGCATTACACCTTTCAATACCGTAGGGCATATCTAAGGGTAAATTCTTCACACACACTGGCTGTTGTAAGAACAGGTGGTATTATTAGATGAATCTATTAGATGCATTATGACCTAATTCAACAAACACCTAATTTGAATGTGTAGCTAACCAGTAATTTGTAGAAAAAGGTGTGCTGGTACCTTTGATTACAATGAAACATTGCAGGAATAATGCAGTTGAAAATAAAATAGTTTTCTAATTCCACTGCATGAATAAAGATCCTTCAATTACGCCTTTTTCTTTCAACGTGACTGAAATGTATCATTACAGGCCAATCATATCTGGGGTTTTGTGATTTTTGGGACATACATTTGGTACATTGGGTTTTAAAACACTATAAGTTCAACTCCACCCACAGAAATATCATTCTTTCCCTAATACAAGAAATTTAAAAAGTAACGAAATTAGAAGTAAACAAAGGCTTACGTGAGATTGCTGCAAACCAAATATTATAAGACATTAATTGTGAAAATAATTTGCAATATCTGAAAAAAGGACAGGCAACCTTTTGCTCATCAGGTATTTTGACAATTCCCATTAGATGTTGACCAATATTGCAAATAAAAAGGCAGTTGTCATCATTCATGTGTTTATATATTGGTGCCTTGTTAGTTACAAAACACACAGTCTACATTAACCTGAAGCAATTGTCAAAAATTCATTGCTGTAAGAATTGATTTCAGAAGACTGAGTCCAAACAGTGTTTCTGTGAGAGGCAAATTCA